ATTGGTCAATCTGGTGGGAAGAGCTTCTGAAGAACATAAGGATGACTGTACAGATCAGATCAAAAGCTGAAGCTCGCCACTCTGCCTCCAACTGGCCTCTAGCCAGTGTTGGCTAAGAGACAAAGGCTATAAAAGCATGGCAGGCATACAGTTAATCTTTACCTGGTATGATCTTCCAGTTTCCAGTAATCTGAAGGTTAGAGATTTCCTGAGCCAGAGATTGTATCTTGGTGTTTAGTAACTTGTGATGGATTTTCTTCATTGACTTTTCTACCCACCTGGACTTCTGGTATTCATAACATCCTGTGGCAAGGAGTTCCACAGCTTAATGGGTGTGGGGAAAAAATACTTCTTTTTGCTTGTTTTAATCCTGCTATCTGGTAATCTGGTGTGCTAATCGACAATTTGCTGCTCCCGAGTTCTTCTATGGAGTGAACGAGCATTCCCAATCCCATTCTCCATGACAGAAGTGATTTTATAGAGCTCTGTGACATTCCCTCCCCGTTGTTTCTCTTTTCAGGCTGAAGAGTCCTTTAAAGTCCTGGGAAATATTTGAAGGCAGTTTTGAAATGCTTTGGTGAAGGACTCTCTTCCCCTGGGAAATGCTGACCATTTGAGAGTCTCCTCACTGACACCACCTGTACTGTACTGGTTCAGCTCTGGCAGAGTTGAGGAAAGGTTCTTTATAAATGGTTGTGGAAAACCAGAATTTTCGAAACTGTCCTGAACTCTGCTGGAAACCTCCTGGATAGGACTTGTAATGCAAAATATTCTTACTTAGACCCCATAGTGGCCTCATTCTGGCTTGCACCACATACGTGGGTCTGGACCACCATGCTGGAAGGGGTTCAGCCTGCCAGCTAAATAGGGCTGGGCTGTTGGGACACCTTCTGTAAGTGATCCTGCATCCCACTGCACCCTATATTGGTCCTGAACAGAACTGCTGACACATGGCCACCATTCATCTGCTGAGGTCACTATGGCAGAGCAGAGCCACCACATCCCACTTGGGATAGTGTTATGTAGTGCTGGACCAGGAAGGGGCTGAGGCAGTATGTTTCAAAAGAAATTAGCTAGCAAGACATGCACATTTAACGTTTATGGTTTGGAGATTAAGACATCAGGCTGGAACTTGGGATATCTGGGTTAAATCCCAGCTCTGTCAAAGACTTCTCAGAACATGCTGGGCAGGTCGTGTAAGGCAATACTTTAGGAAGGGACTCAGGATTTGGGAGCTTAAATCCAATTGACTTCTAGTAACTTCCTAAGTATTTAAGGACAGGATTCACAAAAAATACTGGGGCATTCTGATGCTCAGCATTGCGGCATCAGCTGGTGTGCACCACAGACCTCGGGCAGAGCAGTGTGTGCTTTGGGAAGGTGCTTCAGTGTGTGAGGAAGCCTGTAGGTGACAACTGGGGACTCCTGGAAAGTGTGAGTTTGTGCAGGGCCCGCGGTGGCTGTGCACCTCGTACAATGGCACTCTGGGCTTAATGACGGTCTCTAGGTGCAACCTCAGCACAAATACATACTAATAAGTGTCTAAGTAGATAGATCCTGTAAGAGCTTTTATATCAGCTCCCTGAGGTGTGAATACTAATACCAACAATCATGGAAAGATTTTGCATATTTAAAATTAAATTAGTTCATTCTTTAGAATTAAACAGTCAGGGCTGTGTTTCCAGCCAGTGGAGTACAATGACACATTCATTTGCTGGTTGAGCACGTGCCTGATGGGGAGCTGGCTGTGCAGAAGGCTAGTGAGGGAAAGCACTGTGTGCAGGGACACCGCTCACCTGTACAGCTGTAAACCTGCAGCTGGCTGTCCTGCTCCTTTGAAAGAGCAGCCCTAAAGTTCCTTTTCTCTCTTTTAAACCTTTATTAAACCTGTTTGGAAACTATGCTTGTTTCATCTCCTGCCAGGATTGCAGATGGTAACAGCCAGTTTGATAAGGCCCTTTGAGACCAGCTGTGGCCTGAAAGAAGCTTGAGAGTTCCTTAAGTACCTTGGCAGGTGGTCTCTAAGAGTGTCCCAGGCCTTTGCTTGCTAATTATCCATCCTGGAAATGATGGTTAGAGTTTTTGTTGAGGGTGCTTATTAGCTGGGTGCTTGTGAGCAGTAAGAGCCTGCAGCCTACTCCAAGAACTCCCAGCCTGCATGAAATGGGTGCAGCCGCCTTCCCTTGGGAAGGACCCTTCTCTCTGGTAGGCAGTGTGGGAGCCTGGCTCACCTCTTCTCTGCTTCCATGTCATACAGCTCTCGCTCGTTTTTGTCTGTCTGGGACACACAGCCTGCATCAGAGGCACTAGCTGCCTCCAGCGAGCTGCGAAAGGACCATTTCATAATGAATGAGGGTGATTTGCTAAGTGGGGGGTCCTGGAGCCCAGCCGTAATTGTGCTGCTGCCTTATCTCAGCCTCACACCTGCTCATGTAATGGCCCAGCTGTGATCCGCTCCCTCCCCCATGTGCACGCTCTACCCTTCTGCTCCTGGAGGAGCCATCAATTCTCTGGCCCCGTTGCAGTCCCTTGCCTTGCTGCCCTCGCCTGCAGCCTGTGGGTGCACACAAATTCCCCCTTGAATTGCAGCAGGGCCACTGGGCTGGCTCTAATGGACATGACTGCTAACCTGGCTTTCATGTCCTAAATTACAAGTATTTAAATGTAATCCTTCTGCCCAAAAGAACTCCTAGAGACAGCTTTCTTCAAATTATGTTTCCTTAGAAAACTTAGTCACACAAGAATATTGTATATATTATTCCTGCCAGAGGGAGTATGTGCAGCTTTTTTTTTACCCCTGCATGCATTCAATACTGGTGAAAATGGTTGGATTGACAGTGTAGGCAATTAAAAGCTTTTGAAATCCAGAGCAGATGGGATTTTATCCAATTTATATGTGGTCTTACTATAAATGTACCTTGCTGGATTCAGGCCAGTGAAATCCCAATTCTGTGGTTCAACCTTTGGAATATGCTACCACCCTTATGACAGTTAGACTAGTAATATTGGCTGCTACTCTGTAAAGGGTACATCCCTCTAATATGAGGATGTAGGGTAGCGAGAGAGTTGAAGCCCCAGCCCAACCTAATGTGGCAAGTTCTTTGTTTGCATTTTTTCCTTCCTTATGGGATCTCGTAGCCCAACGTGCTCCGGGCCACCTTAAGTCTCTTCCCCTTAACAGGTCTTCTCTTCAGCTGATAGACAAACTTCATATAAAGGTAAAAGTCCCTGTGTCTTGAATACGTCCCCTGAGCCATCTGTCATCCTGTAGGTGCTTCTTTCTTTATACTACTCTAAACCGAGAATCTCAAAAT